CCGAAGTGTCTTATCCAGTATACTTGTCCCCCAAGCCCGAGGAGGTATAAGTAAGGGCTTTTGATTAGATTTGTTTGCGATTTTTTCGTTATATGATCTTCAGTCGTATATGCCGAATAGGCATGAACAATAAGGCTGACAGAGTACTCGGTTATTAGTTTGTTGGTGTCAGGCCAAGATGGTATTCAGATTCCTGTTCTTGTGAGGATGACCGAATCATCAAGTGCCATCTTGCCCCCCAAGCCTGAAGAAAGATGTGTTGGCATATTAGGGTTTTAGTAGATAAGGGTTTCTTCGTAGTTCGTGCTTTGAAACAAAAGGTTGCACGTTCCTATCTGTTGATTCTGGAAGAGATATGACGATTGAGAAAGGGGGTGACCCTTCATTTATCCGAAGCCGTGTGTTCTATAAATAGGTAGTGGTCCAGGCATTATGTACACTTTTTGCTCTGCACCGAGGGGTATACTATGCTAAAATCGTTCAAGTGTTCTCTCTCTTTTAGATTCTAAGGTACGTTCATTTCGCCATTGCCTTTTTCTTCTCTTCTCTTATTCTTATATGGATAACTCAATGGAGTGGGAAGATTCACTATTTGAGGATTCAAGACCGAGTAGTTCGTTAGCTAGAAACATTGTTCATGATCTTACTAAGGTGACCGAAGAGGTGGGGGAAACATCAAAGAGGTTGGATACCAAAGAGGCTTCTGAACCGATTGACGTGGTGAGGGATTCGGGCGACGAGGCAGAATAGCCTATTACCAAAGATGTAGACGCTAAGTCAGACAAATCTCTCCCTAATGCAAGTCTAGTAAGGGAAAAACCAAAGTTCCCACCTTGTATCATTCCTGGGTACGAGTGGGTAGATGAGGAGGTGTCGACATACTTTTCACATTTCAGTCAGAAGGGGTGTCTCCTAAATTTTGTAGATTTGTATAGGATAGCTTTATGGGACGATTTAGATCCCTATCCCATACATGTTAAGGTTTGTCAAGGAGATAGATTGACAAATCCTAAACTTGTATTTTTACGTGAGGATGCTAAGATGACTAGTACCTTTTTTGTATACGAGTGTATGTTTAGGGAATTAAGGGTGGTGTTACCGTTTGATGAATTTCAAATGGGAGTACTTTGTGTGCTAAATTTGGCACCTACTCAGTTACACCCGAATGGGTGGACAACCATGCAAGCTTTTTGGATATTATTATTATATAGAACCTAGTGTAGGTCTTTTCCTTTATTTCTTTTGTACCCGTCCTTTTGATAAAGTTAGGTGGGTTCCCTTAATAAAGCAAGCATTATACTTCTTCTTTCAAGGGTTTCAAGATCAGATACTTTAAGGTGATGGTAAACCCTCTTGTTGGTAAAAAGTGCTTTTATGATAATGAAGGTAAACCTCTTTTCCGCTTTCATTGGACCTGAGTCCCTTGTCGGTATGACGTATATCCAGAAGAGATGTTGTCCTGAATGAGTTGTCGGCATTGGATTATTTGAAAACACTATCCCAAGAGCTACCTGCCCGAGCTCTTATTCTTCTGTCGAAGTCTCTTAGGCCTCAGTTAGACCTAAAAGGTATGCCCCGTTTCTTTCATTATGGTTTTATTGATTATGTTATATTAATTTGACTTTTTATTTTCAATGCAAGTATAGTGGCGCAGAAAGGAGCTGGTATGTCCTACCAACAGGCTCTAAAGTTTCAAACTCTAGAGGGTACTTCGGCTAAGGAACATCGTCATCCCCAAGTGGATTGGGTATTAAAACTTAATGTTGCTCGCCCTCCCCCGGTCGCCATTCCACTTCCTAAAGGTGTCCAAAAGAAAAGGAAAGACAAGGGCAAGAAAAAGGAAAGCGAACGTAGAAAAAAACATGCTCGCATTGAAACCTTTCGACAAATTTCTTCTACACCGAGTGGTTCTTCAGCTGAGTCTGTCGTTCCAGCAATGGAGTAAGAAATAGAAACAATTATAAATAGGTACTTGCTACGGTACTCCAAAATTTGAGGGGTATTGGATACTCTATCTATATTATACCAAGATATTAAAGGATATTTATGTTTTTTCCAAATACATCACTAACTTTACTACTAAAATCAACAGTTATGATTGTTTCATGATACCTTATAAAACAATCTTTTGTAAAATGTTCGATTCAAGGTTTGCCACTTAGTGCCTGTTTGGTATATGAAATTGAATGTTGGAATTGGAATTAAGCTTTAGAATTTTAATTATCATGTTTGGATGTTCATTTAGAATTGAGATTATAATTCTATGGACTAATTCCATAGAATTCTATGATAACTAAATTTGGCCCACTTCAATTCCTAGCCTGCACCCTAGGAATTTGAATTCCTACTATCATAAATCATAAATACACTCTCATGTATGTAGTTCTTGTTCTTCCATAGCTACTTTCTTTTCTAAGTACTTTCTTTCTTACTCTCTTTCTTTGTTCTCTCTTTTCCTATGCATCTTTCATCCTCCTCTTATATTCTCCTATTTTTTTGTATTCTCTTCTCCTTTTAAATTCACTTTTACGTTGATTATTAATATTATTTCTTTTCCTATGTTATCTTATTTTTCTCTATTCTTTTCTTTCTCATTTTGCATTGATTATTAATAAAAGTAATTTTTCTCTATTTCTCTTCCTCTTATTCTTCTTCCCGTTCTTCTTTTATGTCTTGTTCTTTTTTTTTTTTTTTCCTTTTTCACATTTGTTACATGTTTAATATGTATGTCGTATTATTATTTTACACTTACTGCAAACTATATTCTATTGCTATTATGCATTTTTTACACTTGCTGCAAACTATATTGTTTATGTTAATTGTATGATAAATTGTTTAATACTTTTGAGATGATTATATCATGGGACTGATGAAAATTGTTATAATCAATTACGTCTTATTACAAAACTTTATTTTAGCTTTGCAACATTATATGTTAAGAGAAGGACTACATGATACTTATCATAAGCGTAGACATATGTTATAATATTTCAACTTATTTTAACTCATAATCTTAAGATAAGAGAGTTATTAGAAGCACTTATATTTAATTTATATTTTTAATTTTAAAAATTAAATTATATTTGTGAGCATATATATACTTTCATCTAATTTATGATAAAGATAATTTATAAAATATCAATTTTAATGATAAATTAAACATAAAAAATAAATTTATTGTATCATAATTTTTAAAAAAAATATTAAGTTAACATCTTTAAAAAATTATTTAATAATTATTTTGTATTTTTAATTAACACATTATTTTTGAAAAAGTTCTTAAATAAAATTTTAATGTAAAGTTGAATTATTTTTTAAAACTTTAAATTTTACATCACACTATAGAATTTGATTTTAACTTAGAATTATAATTCTTTGAATAAGGAAAACATAAAATTATAAGTCTGAAACAATTCTAATTTTGATGGAATTAGAATAAATTATAATTCTAAATATTAATTCTATTTCATGCGATAGACGAGCTCCGACGTAACATTTGTAGTAAATTTGAAAAGATATTTTATATTTTTTTAATTAATGATTTTAATTTATTTAATATCATAAAAATTAAAGAAAAATGATATTAATATTTTTATTTAAATTGTTAACTTCATTATTTATTAATTTAAAATTAATAATTAAGATTATTTCAAGAAAAGATATCAAATCTTTTAATTAAAGAGGATACCTAAATTTTATCTTATCAGTTTTATTAAAATAAATAAAATAAAATAAAATTTGAGGATTTAAAGCCATTGTTTCGGACTTTCGGTCGCATCTCACATCACACACACGGGATGTATATGCATTATTTCTTTCTGAAATTTGCCAAACACACTTTTTTAATAGATGATAAGAGAATTGAAGCGTTTTTCTTTTTATCACCGGCGATAAATGGGTCCAGAATTTCAGTTATACCATGATCTATGCAGGTTCAGAATTGTATCTCATTCTCTTCTGTTCATCATTCCATGTTAAACTTTCCTTCACGGAAGAAAAAAGGGTTTGGCAAATGTATAGCTTGGCAAGGAATTTCTGTTACAAACCTGAGTTTTATAACTTTTATTAAAACGTTAACAATACCCCTTTTTACCTTTTTTTTAATAAAAGTATTTACTCAAATTCATTATTTTAAAAATATGCTGATTTTTTAAAATTTGATTAATTATAAAAAGTATAATATAGAATATATTTTAAAAAGTGTTATTAGTGTTCTTTATTAAAACAACATTTTTTTTGCTCAAACTTCAAATCAAAAGTTATATTAGAATAATTCGATTCATATTTGATCTAATGCTAAATGCTATAATTTTTTATAAAAGAATATTATTTATTAATTTTTTATTATATAACTTTAGACACATGTTAAGAAATTCGTAAGATAAATATTAGAAATATTTTAATACAATTTTTTATCATACTCTTTATGGTTGAGCTATTTTTTTTTTAAAAAAAATACCATTTATTTCATAAATTGATCATATTTTCAAAATTTTTCCAATAAAAAGTTGATGAATTACAATAGGCATGTTAAAATAACAGTATATTATTGACAATTTTCTTATAGTTATAAAAGTGCATTGATTTTTGTAAACTTATTTTAAATTTAACAGTAAAAATACCTTTCTTTGTATGATAATAACTTAAACTGTACAATTATGTATAAATTATTAAAATTTAAATATTTTTATTATTGATATAATTTAAAATAATAAAATTTACTGTACCTTTAAGATTAAATAAATTTTATATCTTCTCTCACATATAAAATAATTATTATTGTTAATTTTATATTAATAGATAATAAAATTAATAATTTAATTAAAAATATGTTAATAAATTTTAATTTTAAAATATTAAAAAAATATTACTGTAAAATGAATATAAAATATCTTTTTAAATTTGCGATGGAAAGCACCATTTAAAACATGTGAGAAGGTACTCTTTATTTTCTCGATTTACAGACAAACTTTAGACGAAATTTCGTTTTTCTATGTGAGAAGGTATATTTTGGTTCTACGTATTCCCGGCATTAAGTAACGCACGCAAAACCTCAGCAACAATGGCGCTTAAAACCCTATCCACTTTCCTCTCACCTCTTTCTCTCCCCAATCCCAAATTTCCGCAACTCCTCTCCACCAAACCGTGCCTCATTCTCTGCGAATTTCCACGCCCTCAGAAATCGCGTTTGCCCGCCGCCGAATCCGAAGGCACCGGCGCCGCTGCTCCCTCGCCGGGAGAGAAGTTCCTCGAACGCCAGCAATCAATCGACGCTGCTAAGCTCATTCTCAAACAGAACCAAAAGAACAAAAAGAGAGAGAAGCCTTTAAAAGCTTCTAAAACCGTCGCTTCTTGCTACGGTTGCGGCGCTCCGTTACACACTTCGGATGTGGATGCACCTGGCTACGTCGATCCTGAAACCTATGAATTGGTATCGCTTTAATCCAATTGAAAAATTATCATTGTGCATTGGCTGTTGCTGAATTCTGAAATGTTGATTACGTGGCATGAATTGTGTGTTTGTGTTGCAGAAGAAGAAACATCACCAGCTTAGAACCGTTCTCTGTAGGCGGTGCCGGCTTTTGTCTCATGGCAAGATGATAACTGCTGTTGGAGGACACGGAGGATATTCTGGCGGTAAATTATTTGTTACTGCTGAAGAGCTTCGAGAAAAGTTGTCTCACTTGCGTCACGAGAAAGCTCTAATTGTCAAATTGGTAAATAAACCAGTAGAACATTTTCTTTAAGTGAATGTACTGAATGAATTCATTTAAGACATATGAACTAATTATCTGTACAATTAGGATCTCATACCGTAATATAAAATCCTTTTGCAATTGTATTTGCTTAGATGCTTTGAAATATTTGTTCAAAGAGAGCATTGGATTAATTTATGGATGGATTCTTGGTAAAAGTTCTGATATCTCTTTGAAGTTGCGTTCAGTTTATTTTGTGAAAACTAGAAGCTGGTTGCATATAATGCAATTTGGATAACGTTATAAATTGTAAGGATGGATATCATCTGAAAGAAAGCTAGTTTTTAGCAAGTGGATGGCAGATGGTTGGTAAACTTGCTTTATACTTGTATGTGTAATTAATCAATGTCCTGTGCTACAATTTGTACTTGGGACGTTTTTTGTTGAAAAATATTACTTGACTTCTGAAGCTAAGAATTTGATAAATAATTAAATCTATGCAAACAAATTGAAGGTGAGAATATTGTCTCGTTTTGTTCAGTGGAAATGTCTGTCACCTGAGAAGCTGTGACATTTCAATTGTCATGGAAGATTCATAGATTCTGCAGTAATTAAAGTATCTTTTGTTTATTTCCAATTAATGATAATAAATGAATGAAAGAAAGGAATGATAATCCTTCGTCTCATTTATTGAAGTAATCATTTCCAGGTTGATATTGTTGACTTCAATGGCAGTTTTTTGTCTCGTGTGCGAGATCTTGCTGGTGCTAATCCAATAATATTGGTGGTGACTAAGGTAATAATGTGCATGTAGCTTATTATTTTCTTAAATGGGAGCTGTTTTTTGCTGAATGTACAATAGGATATAAACTTACAAACATACGGTTTTCACATTTAACAGAATGTCCTCTCTGTAGGTTGATCTCCTTCCAAGAGATACTGATCTTAATTGTATTGGGGATTGGGTTGTGGAGGCTACCACAAGAAAAAAACTGAAGTATGTATCGTCTTTGTAATAAATTAATTATTAACTTCAAATTTACTAATTTATGTCATCTTGTCCAATTATATATAGTATTAGATGTTAAGAATGAGAAAGCATTTTCAAAATTACAAATATGTGGTGTTAACTGTTGCTTTTTATGAGAAAAATCCAATTCATATAATTTACTTTTATTATGTATGACTAAGGAGAACTTTATAATCTTAATTGAAAAAGTTCAACTTATCAAAATTTTGATGTTGATATGCATTGCAGTGTTCTCAGCGTCCATCTGACCAGTTCCAAATCATTGGTTGGAATTACTGGAGTGATATCAGAAATCCAGAAAGAGAAGAAGGTTCTTTTCTCCTTAATGGGTTACACTTTTTTTTAACTGACTACATTTCTTAATTGTTAAAGAAATCAAGAGGTTCTTTTGCGAAACTTGATGATAAATTGCAATTTAATTTTACATCTCAGATGGCATAAACTTTTTTATCCATATTTATAAAGATGTTGAATCTGTACTGCATAAGTTATGTCATTTATGAGTGATGTGGATCATTGTTTGGTTCAAATTTGAAATATTTTCTTTTCTTTTAATTGAACTTGTCATATGTTGTAGGCTGCTACTGCCTTTAGAGATCCTTGAATTAGGAAACTTGTGTCTCATATCTCATTCTTTCTTCCTCATCAAAAGCATAAATACTGATGATTTATTATATTCAAGTAATATACAATGATGATAGTTTTAACAAAAATTTGTTGCTGTAATATGCATTCTGCATTCCTCAACATGTGATACTGTGGTATACAAAGCATCACTTGAGCCTCTAAAATAAACTATATAGGTATATAGAGTACAATTCACATGTTACTGTTGACTTTTTTCATATTTTTGCTCTACTGAAATTCCATTTGTTTTTATTTGTGTAGGGAAGAGATGTTTACATTCTGGTAAGTCTCTGAATTGGAAGTTTTATATGCTTAGGTGATGACTGAGATACAAGCTGATGTTTGTACATTGATGTTTTTACTGAATTGTCAGTGGAATTCCTGTCCTTGTGGTACCTTTTGTTTATCACATTCTCATTTAATGGAAGGATCCAGATATTAAATTGCACTTATTTCTTGTTGTTTTCTTCCGAATGTAAAACATGTAATAGTCTAAACTTCAGTTCCTACTTTTGGAAGATGGCACGATGGCTGGCTTTAGTGTCTCATTCATAATACAAATCTTATATTTTTCTCTGTGTGCGCTCGTGCGCATTTGTGTATAAAATCTCCTATATTCAGCAGTTGAGTTAAGAAATCAATTGATCAGAACTTTTATTTTACAGGGTTCAGCTAATGTTGGGAAATCTGCTTTCATCAATGCCTTACTAAGTAAGTTATATTTCCATATCCTAAATGTTAGGACTAGGCTTATTCCTTTTCTACGATTGAAAATTTTCTGGGAGTGCTAACTATATATTGCTTTTATTTTGTGGAATTCCTTTGTAGTCTTGTACAGAATTTGGTATTAGTTTATGCTTTTATGGTCATTGTTTGCATTTTGCTTGAACACTCTTCCTTGGATGCTGAACCATGTAAGCCTTAGTTTTGTGAAGTGGTGGCCAACGGATCTAACACCTTGTATATCATATAGAACAGTGTAGGCTTGTATTATACATAAGATATGAAGCAGCTATTTATAAGTTATTTTTGTCCTTAAGCTTTCAGTTGCCAAATCATTTTTTGCATAGCTCAAATGGAACACTTTTGAAATAGATGATAAATGTTTTAATTTTTTTTTATTAAATTGTCTCCCTGAATTATCTCTTGTTTTGCCTATCATTTTGTCAATTCCAAGTTTCCAGGTATGCTTTTTTTTTTTTTTTTTCCCATCTTGACATTTTAATATTTGATGCCAGAAACAATGGCTATAAATGATCCAGTGGCTGCATCTGCTCAAAGATACAAACCAATACAATCTGCAGTTCCTGGAACAACCTTAGGGCCAATTCAAATCAATGCTTTCCTAGGAGGAGGGGTACAACTTTCTCAATCATATATTTAGGCAGCTGTTTAGTCTTATGGTTTTTCAATTTATTAATTTGTTTACTTTTTTTGTAACTTGTGCAGAAATTGTTTGATACACCTGGAGTTCATCTCTACCATAGGCAAAGTGCAGTTGTTAATTCTGAAGATTTACCCTCACTTGCTCCTCAAAGCCGACTAAGGGGCCGGTCTTTCCCTGTATGTTGTGTTCAAAACTGCTTTAAGACATTATACCATTGTAAGTGATGCTAACTTTGTCCTCATTGTTGTTGCTACTTGATAGAGTTCTCAAGTCTCTTCAGACAATGTAGAAGAAGGAGCTTCTATAGTGAATGGCTTGAATGCATTCTCAATATTTTGGGGAGGTCTTGTTAGAATTGATGTCTTGAAGGTTTTGATTATATACTTCCAATTTTTACATCATGTCATAGGACCATTTATTTTTATTTCACTCCCTTTTCCTTGTCTAAATAATGTCATCAGTCCTGATAATTTCAGGTTCTCCCAGAAACTTGTTTGACATTTTATGGGCCCAATAGACTACCAATTCATATGGTACCCACAGAGCAAGCAGATGAATTTTATCAGGTATTGTGATTCGATCTGTTTAGAGAAACTGAGAGACTAAACTTGATATTGTTGCTTACATCTGGCCTAAACTGATCTAGCTCACAATATTTGAGAATTCCTGTTTGTACTTGCAAAGTTGAGCAACTAAGTTTATGTTCATCAGAAAATAAAGTTGCTTCAGTTTTTTACGAGTTATAAAAAAAATTGAGAATTCCTGTTTATGATGGATTTATTGCCATCAGTTTGTAGTTTTTCTGCTTCTGTTTACTAGAACAATAATTCCTTAACAAAAGAATAGAATTTGGTGCTACTGCTATAGTATCATAAGTTTTGTTGTCCCATTAGATTGATTAGAGGTTGAAGAAGTTATTTCACTTCAATAATATTATATAGCCTGTGTTCTCCATGAAATTTATAATTACTTCTGATTGTGTATTTGCAGAGTTGCATTAGAGACAATGGATTCTCTCTTTTTCGTTGCTTTCTCTCTTGCACACTGACTTTATATTTGTTGTCTTCTTGGGCTATTTTGGTCCTGGTGCTCTATATTCTCCTTCTACACGAGGCATCTGGCAGTAATATATACCAATGTTGTCATTTGAAAGATCTATTGATTTGATTGTTGATGTATGAGTAGTTTCCTCCAATTGTCTCTTCATGTCAACAAAGCTTGGGAGTTGTAACACTTGTAAATTTAAGGATCTTCCCTCCTCTAACCTGAATGATGGCTTTGCCTTATTGTCTCAGAAAGAACTTGGAGTTTTGCTGACCCCTCCAAGTGGAAGAGAAAAGGGCGAGAACTGGAAAGGACTTGAATCAGAACGTAAATTGCAAATAAAATTTGAAGATGTGAAAAGGTATGATCCTGAGTTAGTTCTCTTATTGGTACTGTTTAAATGTAAAAGGCTTTATTTTGGCACTAGAATTTTGAAAACCTTATTTAGCTAATTCTGCGTGTTTATTGTTGAGTCACTCCAGCCAAAAATGTAACATTTATGAATAATAGTTAAATATGAATTTTCTTGTTTTTGACTTTGGGCAGACCAGCTTGTGATATAGCTGTATCAGGTCTAGGATGGTTTACTGTTGAGCCAGTTAGTAGGTCACACAAAATCTCACAACCCAAACCTATAGAGGCTGCTGGTGAATTGCTTTTAGCGGTGCATGTCCCCAAGCCTGTTGAGGTTTTTGTGAGGTCGCCAATACCAGTAGGCAAGGCAGGAGCAGAGTGGTACCAGTATAGAGAATTAACAGAGAAAGAAGAGGAAATGAGACCAAAATGGTACTTCTAAACTCCGCTATGTATTTCTTTTTTGGCAGGAGGAGCGGTTGCATTTCCATTTCTGACTTCAATCTTCGACCTTTTCCAAAATCTGGGACCAACCAATTTTCCCTGTATTATTAATGAGATTAATTCCTAAGTTGTATACTGACGACATCATTTCAAAAGAAGGAAGTTTAAAGATAACTAAGAAATGATAGCATTTTCTCACAATGTGTACTTAGTAGAATGTTGAGTGAGATTCTTATTAATTTTTCTTGTGTAAAATTTCACTCTTGCTACCAAGGATGAAGTTTAAATGATTCAACCCTTCTACTCCAAGTTCAATAAAAGCATTATTTAATTAAAATTTAAATGAAGTTTCTTGTTACATTGCGTGAACTTCCCTACGAATTACGCACAACTGATGAAACGCTTCCTCCGGGTAGAAATGGATGTACAATTATGATATCGTCAGTTGTCAATTACTCGGTTTGCCCAGGTGATAGGCTACGCAGTCATGGTCACGAGAGGGTGAAATTTAAAAATGAGATATATTTACTGATGATATCTTATCATGGGGAATTTTAAATGAGAGAATTTAATCGCAATTATTAGAATATAAATCATTCCTATTGAAATAGGATTGCAAGATGGATCTCCGCAAAACGCTTGGGAAGTAAACTAACTACCTTGGATTATTATGTCGACTATTTTTTTAACAATTTTTATAATTATTTTTAGCTTATTTTAATTGACCGTTTAATAAAGAGAGGGCAGGTAACTGCACGAATAAAAAAATTGATCCATGTAAAGCAGACGCATAGGTTGGCGGTTAGAGTTAGTTTTTGTTTTGAAATGCATAGTTCCCTTGGGAAACGACGTGCCTTCATCTCGAGCATTTCCAATTGCTTATTTATGAACGGACTTGTGTTCGTTTGAGTCTCCCACTTTCTAGCGTTGTCTCTCTTTGCCACAATGGCTCCATCTTCTGTCATTGTCACTTCCCGCTTTCATGAATCCGTAACTCGAAATGCACTTCGCTCCTATTTCTCTGAGTTCATCTCCACTTTCTTCTATGTCTTTGTTGTGGTTGGCTCTGGAATGTCCTCAAGTGAGTACCCTTTGTCTTTCTGAATTGTGTTCCTTTTTCTTGATATATCATCGTACACATGCATGCATGTGAGAGTGACCTTGTTTTTCAACATAAAATTGATACATAATCATAACCATGAAAGAAATAAGATAAACTTCTGGAGTCTAATTATCATGGGGTTTTTTGGATTATGCTATGCACGAAAAGGATTCAGGTTGCAATTTTTATTTTTTTTCAGACAGTATGCGTTTCTATGCTGAGTATTCAATTCTATCTTCGGTGGATAACTAGTAACAATGGAGATCAGAGGATCGCAGGGGTCTTTGTTGTTTTTAATGTGAACTGAAATGTACAATAATAACATATAATTTTTAAACTGCAAGTTCTTAAGGAGTTTAAACTATTTTCTGGCGTTCTGTTTTACCTTTTAATTTGATTTTTTTGTTTTCCTTTCTTCCAAATACTGATAGTAAGCAAGGGGATAAGAAACGCGCTTTCTAGTTTTCAACAATTCTAATATAGCAGTTGAGTTTCGCATATTGTTTACGATGTCCATTGTTCGGACAAAGTCATTTGAAACTTTTTATTTTCAACAGGAAGTACATGTAACAGAACAAATGAACAATTGCATCATTCACACCCCATGAATTCTTTTATTAATGAAACATAATATAAACTAAAAAGTCCATCATCTTGGCCTAAAACGGACTTTTTTTCCTCTGTGACTTGGTTAATTGGTGTTGGACAAACGACAGGGAAGTTGATGCCTGATGCTTCATTGAACCCAACCAGTCTGGCGGTGGTTGCCATTGCAAATGCTTTTGCTTTGTCCTCTGTATTGTATATTGCATGGGACATCTCTGGGGGACATGTCAATCCGGCTGTGACCTTTGCAATGGCAGTGGGAGGCCACATTAGTGTACCAACTGCTCTCTTTTACTGGGTTGCTCAGCTTATTGCCTCTGTTATGGCTTGCCTTGTTCTAAGGGTCATTGTTGTTGGAATGGTACCCTTCATTTGGCTAAACATACATTTTAATTTTCATTCTTTAACTTTTGTCATTCATCACCAAAATGGTATTTTTTCCATTATACTTTAATTTGAAATGTTATTTACTCTTTCTTCCCTTGTATGTTTTTTCAGCATGTGCCAACATACACCATTGCGGAAGAGATGACAGGGTTTGGAGCATCAGTACTAGAGGGAATTCTGACATTTGTTTTGGTGTACACTGTGTATGCTGCTAGGGACCCTAGGCGCGGATCATTGAGTTCCATCGGTACACTTGCAGTTGGGCTAATAGCTGGGGCAAATGTCTTGGCTGCAGGCCCATTCTCTGGAGGGTCCATGAACCCTGCATGCGCTTTCGGCTCGGCAGCCATTGCTGGCAATTTCAGGAACCAAGCAGTGTATTGGGTTGGGCCCTTGATTGGTGCTACCATAGCTGGCCTTCTTTATGACAATGTGCTGTTCCCTTCTCAGACTACAGATTTAGTTAGAGGGATTTCGGGAGTTGGGGTGTAAATTGTTATGCTATATGCAATAAATTGTAGTGTTAAATAGTTTTTGAACATTTTAAATTGCGACACATATTTCTTAACAGCTTGATTGTAGTGACTGAACTATATAGTATGTAATTTTGTCATGTCAAGTTAAAAGTGTTGTAGAAAAATCTGACATTGGCTTGTATCAGTGAAAGGTAATATTTTCGCCAATTTGGAAAAAATTATGCTTTTAACATTATGATTACGTACAGCCATTAATTGATCATCGATAATAATATTATATTACACAATACTTGGGATGAATAAAGTCAACTTTTGCATCAGTGACCCCAGTCTTGGCCTTTGAGCAATAAACCAAAAGTCAAGTGCTTTTTAAACTTTAGCTTTTTAAAATTTTAATGCATATATATGTATGTATGCTAATGCGTCTGGCCTATAATCAGGTTGAAAACACAGAAAAATTAAGGGCATATCTGAAAATATTTTATATTTTTACTTTTATTATAAAACTGTCACCTTACTTTTATTCTGTTTTCTAATATTTGTATAGAAAATAATGAAAACAAAAAATTATTTTAAGTGTTTCATGTGCAAATCTTAGAAAATAAAAAGCAGAACATATTTCCTGAGATCAAAGGTAAAGTTGCAAAGTATAAAGATCAAAAAGCACCGAGTTTCTTGACGGAGAAAACTGTCCCCTACTGCAATGATGATGTAATACAAAATTATGACAACGTTTGGTTTTGGAATAATATAAGATGAGTTTGGGCTAATTTTTTCAGATTAACTGACCCGCATGCATACCAATTCTATAAGTTTTTTTTTTCTGAAAATTTAAATTAAATATGATAATTAAAAATTATCCAACTAATCCAAGCTAGTAGAAATTGTTACATCTCAAAAGTCAAGAGCTGTTTCAAACTTTTCATAACTGTAAAGTCTAACATTGGAAACTACGTTAAAGTAAGTTAAGGTAGTTGAATACGAAAATAAACTCTCTCATGTAACGATAACCGGTAGTAGTGGATTGATTTGATATATACTCATACATTGGACATCCCTTTCATCTTTATTATATGGTTACATTCCTCATCTTTTTGCCTCATTTCCCCCACCATTCATTGCAAAATTATCGTTAAAAACAGCAGCAGCCAAAAAAGTCTGCTTAGGTAGTCGTAAATTATACCAACCTACATACCCACATTTGAAATTTTTGAATCACTAACTTTTTTATTAGTTGAAATTTTGTCTACTTTGCTAATTAATTCTGAATAACATGTTTTCAGAACCCAATAACTAAAATCTTCCCTCTATTCAAGGAGACTTAGGAGAGCATTGAGGAAAAAACTTTCCTCTATTCACATATCTAACATTCTCACATGTAGCAATGGTGCCACCGTTGTTGCCTTCTGGTTCTAAAATCACATCTTGCACGTAGATTTCTCTGCATGGGACAGCTTGGCTGCAGTCAAATTTTATAGCCACTTCGGAGGCACTTGTTCCTCTTATGTTTTGGTATAACACATTGCTTAATTGCACCGCTGAGTCCTGCCATTTGAAAAAACATGATCCACTATTAACAATTAATTAAAGGGTTTCTCTCAATTTTGATGGTATGTAGATTAAGAACTTTATCACCTGCTCGTGGCATGGCGCTGCTTGATCACAATAGTACTGATCTATGATTATTGGATTTGTCACATTTTGCATCATTATGTTCAAAAATTTGATGTTTCTTGCATACCCAGAACCTCCCTGTGTTGAGATAGAATCAAAAGATATGACATATCATAATAAAAAATCACTTTTCTCTTACAAAAAATTATTTTTCCCATGTAATGATAATGTATTTAGTTTATATGAGAAGACTTTTTAGCTTCTAGTGAGTCACCGCCATATTGCGCTCAATGTAATAATATCTCATGAGAAATATGCAAATTATTTATTTTTTTGACACTATTGATTCTTTTATAAAAAGAATTTCGACTTTTGTCTCTTTATGCTCAAAGCATTTTCCCATGTTAACCATCATGCTGTTCCACCGAAAGCAAATGAAAAATGAAAAATGAAAAATGGTTTTTTAGCTCTAATCAAGAGGAAGAGACAAGAAAGTTGAACAGAAACTTCTTTTTTAAAAAATTATGTTGACATGTGAAGGAAAAGGTTATGAATTGGGGGATTGTGTAGACTTGCCAAAGATTAATTGTGGAAGAATGGGTCAGCTTTGGGCAAAATAGAAGCAATAACTAACTAGATAAAACTTGTCACAGGGCTTGTTAAATCGAAAAAAGTGGAAATTTGTCAACATGGGGTGCACTATTTTCCTCATCCAAGTTCCAATTCTTGTGTCATTGGTCAACTTGCCAATATTTTTTCTCTTATCGGTTTTGCGCCTAAAATTTGGCAAATAGTGCTCACTCGACTGAACTTTAACCAACTTATTCCAAAAGACTCTTGAACTATGATGGTAAAGCCAAAAGCAAATTTAGACTGAAAAGTTGAAATTCCCCTTTTAACAAGTTTTATTCTTAACCTCCATTCTCCATCCTTTCAACTGTTTCAAAATCTCAAGACCAACTATCACCTGCCAAGTCTTTATTCTCACTCCATTGGTTGTTCCTGTTAAGGTGGCCCTGTTCACTATCACATTGGACACTTCAGCTTCTGATTTATCAGCTCCTAAGCTTCCAATGCTACAAAACATTATTACCATATCAGCATTTCAACCATCCAATGTAAAATTGATCTAAACAAAACTCCAACTTAAAATTGTTATGTACTGTAATTAATGTAATCATAAAATCAACCTTATTCCATGTCCAGGTCCGCATGTGATATCAGTGGCTCGAACATTTTGGGACCCACTTATTATTGAAATACAATCATCACCTTTAATAAGCAAAGTGGAGAAAAATTAAACCATATATCGAAATCCAATTGAGCTTCTTTCATTGTGTGTGTTTTCTTTAGTAGTGTTGGCTAAGGCTTTTACCTGTGCCAATGTCACTGTTGCTTATGGCAATATTTTGTGTCTCCGCGACATGAATTCCATCAGTGTTGGGGCTGTTCCCTGGTGCTCTGATAACGAGATTCGAAACAATAACATTGAAACATTTCATGAAGGTCACATGCATTTGTTGTGCATCCTTGAATCTCAGGTTAGTCACTTTCAAATTGTTGCATTGATAGAAAGTCACGGCCTACACAGCATTTTTTTTCCATTAAAGTGTTAGGAAAACAGAGCACCCTGCATCTCCTTGTAAAATATATTAGGTGAATAAAACTAAATGGTATGAACAATAATATTATTATTATCTTACTTTTGGTCTTGGTCCATCTTTGCATGGCTGTGAATCAAAGCAATGAGAGGAAAGAAAGGAAGGTAAGTTTTCACATTTAAAATAGCAATTCCTAAAATAATCAAAATCGGAAGAAATGACTTACAAGGTTCTTGTTGGCTTTGCAAGAGTTTTGCCACCATTTTTTGCCATTGCCATTGAAAGTACCACCACCATCAACCCTGAAATTTGAGACACTATCAAACACAATCCAGCTCTGTCTATCTCCATATGCCTCCATTTGAGTCCATGCCTCGATTGTTCCATAGATCTTACATGTTGAATTAGGAAAACAGAAGAATTGCAATGAATTGCTCAATAACATGGAAGGTAAAAAAAATTTCACTAAGCATTACTTGTGTTACATATATGACATGTCTTACCATAAAGGCAGTGTTGGGTTGGCATGGACCTGAAAATGTTATTGGCTTAAGAGTATAGATCCTATTTTCAGGTACCACAAGGACAGCACCTTTAGAGCAAGCTTCATTCCATGCCTTCTCAAATGCCTGAAGGGCAATTGCAAGGAGAAAAATTAGAGCATATGAAAATTGAAAGAGATTGTTGTTAACATGATATGTTACCTCGGAATCATCTCTTCCATCAGCTTTGGCTCCAAAATCATCAACACTAACTGTTCCACGACTCCTTGAAGAAAGATGGGTAGCTTTATTAGGCCTTGTCATATAACCAAAATGTCTATGTTTTGTCTTGATCAATCTACCATCATGCAGAGGGTAGTAGTGTTCAACATTGGTTTGGTAATTATGTGGTTCCTCTATGTACCAACCAGTACATAAGACTAATGAAGCTAGGACGATGAAAAGTGGGATAATTGGGGTTTGTGGAGACATTTTGATCAATGTTTTCACTTTGTGAGAAAAGAACAAACTGAATGAAGTGCAAGAGTTGCAAGGCTGATATAGAAACTTTGTGGTATGTGCCAAATGTAAAAGCTACGTACTTATATAAAAAAATTAGAGGTGCTTTTATAAAGAATGGATAATGCATGGATACTCCTAACTAAATGGTAGATGTACTCCTCTAATACATGTATTCTTTGGATTTACATTTCTACATACTCTATTTCCTTCAAAAAATTGCTTCTAAATACTTAGGTACCTTTAATTCAAAGTACTCTAACGAGTCATTCAATTCCTATGTTATAAATTTAAATTTTCATTTTTAATGATTATGTAATATTATGCATCTTTTTCACTTTATGACACGTTTCTTATTAATTTTTTATATTATATTAAATTAATATTTTTCTTTAATCAAATGAGATTAATTTTTTTAATCAAATAATATATTTACACATTATTATTAAAATTTTATTAATTTAATTTAAAAACAAAAAACAAAAGTTCATTTTAAAATTTTATTATCTGTATAGTATTTTTTTTCTAAATATTTATAATTTATGATGTTGAAAATGTTTATTATATAACATAAATATATATCCGCTAAGTGAATAGAGAAAAGCAAAGTTTATTTGATATCAGGTACTATTAGTCAGGTATAATTTTCTCTTTGGTTGAAAAATTTTCAGAGAAAATTGTTGAAAAACTTTCAGAGAAAATTGCAGTAACAGTCATTCAGTTAATGTTATTTTCCGTGGATGCATGGAGTAGCACATGCAGTGACTTGTACTATTTAGAAAACGTATGGAATTGGTAACTGACCCCTCAGAGTACGTTGAATACTTCCCTTTAAAAGGAACAATTACTTCTTAATCCCTTTTTTATTCCACTCTTTCACTTTTTCAGAATATCAAATTATTATTCAACAACATTATAGGTGTGAGTATAAACATAATTGGCATCTATTTCACACTACCTGTAAAACTTGGATATATTTATATTTTTAATAACTTTTCATGATTTTTATCACATAGTATTTATAGATATGTTATATCTGTTAAAAAAATTAATGTAATGAAATATTTATTAATTTTATTTTTATATGAAATTTTATAAATTTGATCTCTTTAATAAAAATATTTAAATTAATAGTTTGATTGATTGATTTCTTCAACTTGATAATGATGATATTTAGAAACATAAAATGAAGCATTTTATAAAAGTAGTCTCTCTCTGCATCATAGAAAAATTGTAATAATCTTAACTCGAAAATAAGCCATAGTATTAAATTAGCAGAAGTTTCTGAAAAGGGAAGAAAAGATGTTATTGTGGCAATATGAAGATGGGATTTGCATGTGATATTTGAGTGAAAACTTGCTGTAATGTGCTTTGGAAATGTAAAACGAAGCATACGTGAGTACGGACGGGGCTCGGGGTTATTTCCCAAATCATTTTGACGTGAAGTCGCCATTTTTCTAATGTGTTTAACAGTATATCTTAAATAAATATATAAAATAAACTATATTAATATTTTAAATTAGCATAAAAATATATATAATAACTATTTCTTTATATAATTTTAATATAACAAAATTTTATTTTTAATAAAAATCATTTACTTTTAACTTTTTAACATGGAAAAAGATTTTTTTACACTGATATAAATTTAAAAACTTTTATATTTAATTAAAATTTTTTATTTAATATCATTATATGTAAGTTAAATGAACTTATTTTAATTTACACCATAAGAAGATTATATCTCTTTTAATATACCCTCTTAAAATTACATTAAAAAGCTCAAATCTAAAAATAATCACAAGTGATAAAACACTAGTTAATTGGTTTATTAGACTTAATGATATGTTTGCATAGAAAATTTTAAAAATATGAAATAAATAATAAAAAAATGTTTACCATGAAAGTTAAATATAAGAAAATATATGAATATTAATATGAAAATTCAAGTATAAAAGATATTTTTAACATGAAAATTATTTAATTAAAATTTTACAATATTCTGAAAATATATCTTTTATATAATCCAAATAGATGGAAGTAAGAAGTTTACAACTAAGTGGGGGAACACTAAAGAATGTCACAGCCAAAGATTACGTAATAACTTGTAAACATTTCTTATTATTTGCACCTGCCCTTCTCATTAGCTCACAAGTTAGGTTGGTTGGTTCCAAATTTGGTACGTAGAAGCAATCCAATTCAAACAGAGGTTTATCAAAGTGCACCCCATAACCCAATAAATAATGCAGTCGTTTACAATGAAAGGTATATAGACCTGTAATTGAACTTGGGAAAACATGCAGATGAGAAGATATAAAATCAAGTTTAAGAAAGTCAAGCATGTTCGTTAGTTGTTACAAGAATATGGTACACTGCGCAATCTGTTGCGGAAAAACCAAAGAAACATATTCTTCTTCGATAGTTGACTTGGACAATAAAATATATTATATTTTAAATTTTAACAATAGCCTACGTAACTGATTAGTGTCGTGACATCACAACATTATCTTACACAAAATGGGCTAATAGTAATCTATTTGTTGGTGTACACAATTCTTATTTCTCCAATATGAACGGATCATGTCATGGAATCCAAACCAGGTGCAGTTCTTTTTATATTATATCCATATGATGTTGGTGATGGTTGCAATTGGTGTTACCAAATGGTTTTTTCTTGAGGGGTCAAAAGTGATCTAACAAATTGTCTAAGAAGTTTCTTAAAATATGGCCTGGCCCGTATTTTAAGAGTTGGGCTAAGCTAATTTAAACCAATCATCTTTACAGGCTTGTCTAATGTGATTTTCTGGGCCTTTATTTTGGCACCACTTCTCTTAACCAAATTGTTTTTTACACCACCTTTCCAGATTTAGAACTAACTTCGTAAAAGTAGTTAATATATTAAAATTTTACTTTTAAAATACTAAAAAAATCAGTCAGATCTTAATAGCATGGACATTTATAAATCATCTATTTTTTTCTTTAATTAATACTTACATTTTTTACATAATTCCATAATGATAATCATTGTATTAGAAATGATATTGAGTACTCATCTTTTTACATGTCCACAAATTAAAAATTTCTAACACATTGCATATATTCTTTTCACACATTTTTTTTTTATTATTGGTTTAGTTTTTAAAATGTTAATTTAATTACCTCGTAAACAAGTTAAAATTTACCAAGTGTGTAGACAATTTAAAAAAGATAAACTAATAATAAAAATTGTGTTAAATAATGTATATGAAGAAAAGGATTTTTCTCCAAAATATAAAGAAATTGTTGAGAACGTGACTTTAGACGTCCCATATTTTTAGCAAATTTTTAGATTTCTTTTAATTTAATAAGTCAAATTAAATTTTTTAGAATTGATCATTAGTCGTTAGTGGATAAGCTATTTTCTACTTTTTAGCAAAATTATTAGTAATAGTTGCTAAAATCATGAGATATGATCTCCTTAGTTAGTTATTTTTAATGTATTTAAAATCAGATTGCATTACAATAAATATATTACATTCTAACCAATACTCTTAGTTATTCTCTATTCTTTTATTATGTAAAGTTCTATTTTTTTCACTACTTTTCTTCTTTGTTGTGCTACTGCCTTTACCTCTTAAAACTAACAATTGGTATCAGAACTCTCTTCTTGAAGGATCTATGTGTGTTTTAATTTGTCATGGATTTAGAAACAAGTTTTTTTTTTCAAACTACTCTCTTAGCCTTTGATGGGAAAAACTACGACCTAGTAAGAATAGAATCTTACTTGGAGGTATTTGATCTTTAAGAAGTTGTATTATGATGTCTTTTCTCTACTCGACTATTCTACCATCACCCAAATAAAAAATTATAAGGAAAAAAAACTAAAAAGAAAAGACAAAATTCTACCTTTTTGTTAATATCCCCACAACCATCTTTATTAGGATTATCTAAAGGCAGAATATATTAGAGAAAAAAGAATAAGAACATACAAGTACTTAATTTAATTAGAGAATTCTTGTTGCAAAGGATGAAAAAGTATAAGATAATCAAGGAATAATCAAACAAATTGTTGGCTATTGCCAACAAGATAAGGTTATTAGACATTGAAAATTCTAGTAACAGTTTCTAAGAGATATGAAACATTCATAACCTCATTAGAACACAGAGGATCTGTCAAAGATCACTTTGACAGAAGTACTATATGCCTTGCAGGCATAAGAGTAATGAAGGTTGATGAGAGAAGATCATGTTGTTGAAGGTGCACTTCCAACCAAAGATCATGATGCTAGATCCAGTAGAAAGAAAAATTTTAAGAAATAGGCAACAAGAAAACAACATACAACCAAAACAAAGGCAAGAGTAAAAACAAAAATTACCTAGTTAACATTGTGGAAAAATGGGTCACCCATTGTTTTGATGTTGGAAGAGACTAGACGTAAAGTGTGATAAGTGCAATCAAATCATACATGAAACTATAATTTGCAAAGCAAATAACCAACAAGTTGTAGTTGATGCAAAAAAGTGTACAATAGACTGAAGACTAGCTCTTTGTTGCTAATTGTTTCTCCAGCAATAGTTCAAGTGAATCTTGGTTGAAAGATAGTGCCTGCACCAACCATATGACCTATGATAGAGAATTGTTCAAGCATTTGATCAACACCGAAGTTAAATGGGGTCAGAATTACAATGGTAAACAAATTCTGTTAGGACAAAGTAAAATTGAATCTAATTATATGAATTTAGAATACCAATTGGAGAGCAATGGTAAAGTCACTTACTTGTTTTAGACATTATGAATTGTGTGTAGATGACTTATGTGAGATGCAAATCCTTTATCAATGAAAAATCAAGATCTTCCTTTACCAAATCACACTCTCTTAGTCCTAGGTTCTCAATGGGGTAAACCTAGAGAGTAATAAAAAGTATTTTCATGATGGCAAATGGGATTTAGCCACCATATTTATTAACTCTAAGCACTTCCCATTATGGGCCTA